CCCTTCTGAGGTATGGTCAAATTATGAAAACACTTTGTTTTTTGGATAATTACATTTACCCCCCTTAACTATGAACTTTCTTATACCTCCGCCCTTATGATGTCAAATTCAACATAATGATTTAGATTCCGTGGAATTTCCTCTACTTTGTACTCGTTTTGTGCAAAAATACAGTTTCTGATGCACCACAATCTGATATATACAAGGCCAAAAACACATATAACGGTCATCTTGCTTCAAACGGTGGAGCTCAAATGAGATAAAACGGGTACAAAATTGAGAATATTCCATATAATCTAAAAGATTCCTCTAAATTTGAAACCGCAAGGGTGAACGTGTAAGAAGATTTATAGTTGAGGGGTGGTTGTAATTACCCAAACAAGAGGGGTTTTTTCATAATTTAACCATACCTCAGGAGGTGGTTGTAATTTATACTTATATTCAAAATTCGATAATCCATTTAATGTTTGTGGTTGAAGTAAATTAGTATCAAAATAATAAAACTAATGGTATTTGATGATTCATTTTAATCCTTTGCTATTGGAGTTGTGAACCACCACTTTAATACCCCAAACTAAAATATTTTTACTCCAATAGATTAATCAAAGGGTTAATGAGATATAATCCTGTCATTAGAAAAAATATTAGGACTAACTACCTCGCATTATTTTTAATGGGTCAAATCTCCTCACAATTAGCAATTACTGAACTACCCCATGATTTCTAATAGCAATGACCCCCCAATATTTTTCCTAAAACTGCATATCTTCAACCATTTCGTCAATATATTATCTCCCCAATTTCTGGTAGTCAGCTATATTTGTGCCAAGAAAATAGCAAAACAAATCTGCAAATATATTGGATCATTTCCCAGTCGCAACAATGCCCTAGTTTCTTACATTTCTTAAAAAAATGAAAAATAAAATAACATTTGTGTGGGAATCGTTGAGAAATACAGGTCGACAACAATGGTGAAAGGTAGCAAGAAGAAGACAAGTAGTTTCTTATACACCCATCGCTCCCCTCGACATCTATTAACCTAATCTATGTACATTTACCAAATAATTTCTGTTTTTGACACCCTTCTCAGCGACTCCGAAGGACAAATCAAAGTCTCCTACATCAACGGTATGCAACAGTACGCGACGACCATATGCGACGGTTCAGAAATATTCCATGGTTGATTACTCAAAAATGAAGTTTGTAAACAAGCTTGTTTTTTAGATCTACAGATCTATGCTCGCACTATTTGTTGAATCACAAATATTTGTTTCCTATGAAATTTGTTTTATCAAGAGTCCACAACAAAGAAGAGATCATTGTTGTCGAAAAACATAAAATATTGTAGTAATCTACACTCAGAGTCAACTATAAAATCGGATAGTTCACTATATTTTTTCCAAAGTCAACTATAACAAAATAGATAGTCAACTATAATTTTTACGATGTCAACTATAAAAAAATTGGTAGTCATCTATAAATTTTCCATTAATTCACTATATTACTTTTCAATTTAAGATACTATGGTGTTATAAAATTGAATACTCATGATAAAAATCTCATCTCCGGTGAAAACATGAATTTCATACAGTAGAAAATAGATTGATTTCAACGACAAAAAAATGAGATGTAGAAGAAAAGATAAAGTAGTGAGAAGAAATAGATAAAAATAAAGAGAAAAAATGAAACAGAAACAGACGAGAACAGAGGAAATGAGGGAAGAGAAAGGAGAGAGAGAAGAGAGAGAGAGAGAGAGAGAGAGAGAGAGAGAGAGGAGAGATGGAGATAAGGAATAACAGAAAAAGATACGAGAGGAGAGGAAATTGTGGAAGAGATGAGAGAGGAGAGAGAAGAAAAATAATAATAGAACGACACGTCAAAAGGACGGTTGAGAAGAGGGGGGGGGGGGGGAGAGAAAGAGTGAGAGAAGAAAGGACAAAATTGGAATAATAAATATGTGAGGGGGTCTCACAATTCTTAATGTTAATTTTAGATTTCTTTACAAATGGTAAATATTAAAATGGACCTAGACTCTATTATTTTGTGTATTGAGGGGTTATCCCTCATTTTCCCTTATTCATATCATTATTGCATGTTGAGTTTTTAACTATTGGGATGTAAAAGTAATACTCCCATGATAAATAACATCAAATGAGAGTTAGACAAGTAACCACCTAAATAATCAATTAGAAAATGACGTATAACAATTAAGTATATAATCATTATAGTTATTTTTTAGGGGTCTTTACAAATAAGCCCATCAATGGGTACTTATTTATAAAGTGATCAAGACAAAAAACTTCTTTACCAATAAGTCTACACATGGTTCAGATTTTTGTAAATGACTAAAATAACCCCTCATACTTTAATATGCTCCAATTTCATCATTAACTTTATTTAACGTCAATTTGACCCCAAATTTCACAAATTATTCAATTTTGACCCAAAACTTTTTTTTTTTCAAATTCTTTTTTTCCCGCCGGAGACCGGCGTTGACTTTTCATTTTTTTTTTTATTTTCTTTTCTATCTTTCTGTAACCTTTTTTTTCGTTTAAACAGCAATATTAATGTGATTGACAGTAATATTAACTATATTACTGTTAAACACTAAAATTAAACTAAACTACAGTTTAACACAGTCATATTACTATATTAATCTCTAGCACAATAATATCAACATAACAAAACTCATTATTATTATTATGTAATAGAGTAATATTACTATGTTGACCATTCAACAAATGTAAACATAATAAAAAATCAAAAGAATTAATATTACTATGAGTGACAGTAATATTACTATAACAACAGTAATATTACCGTCAACCACAGTAATATTACAATAATAGACAGTAATATTATTACGTTACTCCATGAATAACACAAACAAACAAAAAATCCAAACAAAATAATAATATTGATGTGGTTGACAACAATATTACTATAACAACAGTAATATTACCGTCAACCACAGTAATATTATTGTGTTTACAGTAATATTACAATAATAGACAGTAATATTATTACGTTACTCCGTGAATAACTTAAACAAAACAAAAAACCCAAAAAAATAATAATATTGATGTTGTTGACAGTAATATTACTGTGTTTACAGTTATTTTACTGTTAACGACAGTAATATAATAACGTTGACTTGTCAACAAATCCAACAAAATAAAAAAAAACAACAAAAAATAAAAAATAATAATATTACATTAATTTACTGTCAACGGCAGCACAATTACATAAATGTATTGTTAATGGCAGTACAATTACGTTAATTTACTGTCATTGACAATATAATTACGTTAATTTACTGTCAGTGACAGCACAATTACGGTCAACGTTTAGCGTCGGACGTAAAAAAGAAAAAACAACCAAAAAAAAAAAACTTAAAAAATCACTAAAATAAGTCAATGCTGGAGACCGAAAAAAAAATCCGGAAGAAAAGAAAAGAAAAAAGCAAAAAAAAAAAAATTCAACGGCGTTAGGTATAAATGGATTAAATTGGGGTTACAATTAAGAATTAGGTATAAATGGTTGATGGTAATATTGGGATATACATGAGTGTTTCCTTTATTTATAATAAATATTAAAGGGATGGGCTTATTGCTGAAAGAGATATAACCCATAAACCTAGAATAATAAACATGTTTGGTTGGGGACTTTATCACAAAAACCCCTATTTTTTAAGTTAACGATCATTTGAGACCTATAACCAATGTTATTAGAACCGGACCGGACATAAAACCGGCAAGATATTCGGGTCACGGTTCGACCGGTTCAACCGGGTTCAACCCGGGTTTTTTATTTATTTTTTATTTTCATTTATTTATTAGTTTTATTAATTTAACAATACTATTTTCTCTATATTTTGCCTATATTACATTCAACCTCTGTTCACCTCCCTTCATATTTTTTTATTTAATTTACTAATTTCATTTTTTATTGTTTTAAATTCCATCATTAAAAAATAATAAAAAAAATCCACTTGTCTTTTTCTTCTTCTTCTCTCTTCACTCTCACCCACTCTCTTACCCATTTCCTTTCTCTCTCTTCAAAATTTACAGACGGTCCAGTACCCCTCTCTCTCTCTCCCTCTTCCCTTCTATTCTCTCCCTTTTCTTCTTATTCTATTATCTACGTATTCAAACACCATATTTTCTACACTTTTAGCCAAATCCGATTTCCGACGACTCTCATTTCTCCGATCTGCCAAAATCTAGCGGTTATCGACCTTCGCCGCCTAGATCTGGCCATCTTGGACCACCACCGCACCTTTTTCGAAAAAAACCGGGGTCATCCACCGGTTTCCGGTTTACTCCGGTTTTCCGGTCGAACCGGATTTTTGCACAACAACCCCGGTTTTCGCCTGGATGACGGGTCACGGTCGAACCGGTCGGACCGGCCGGTCCGGTCCGGTTCTGACAACCTTGCCTATAACTGGAGCAAATCAATTTATATACGGTACCAAAACAAAATATTATATCTAATGAATATTTGATGATTCAATTTGATATTCTGGATTTTGATAGTTGGAGTTACTCTTAAGAATAATGTGAAATTAAACACGAATCTATTTTTGAAGATGACGCCGAACACGTGTTCGTGCCTCCACCGGATTGCTACCAAATTAGTAAAATAAATTGACCAAAAGCTGATGTGGCAATAAGGTGGCCGTCGGTCATTAATTTATGAAGTTAGGTGAGCACAGCTCAGCCCTCAAAACCTCATCGTAATAAACAATTAACAAGTTCGTGTAGGATATGACTTGGTTCCGCGTCAGCATAAACTATACTTAAACACGTTTTGCTGACTCATCCCGAAGGCATCTTTACACTTTTCCCACTCTCACTAGAAATGCGTGCCTTCCACCTCCACCAGATATCAAATTTTTGCGGGAGGTGAGTTGCACGCGCCGAGAAGAGCGTAAAACACATGAGATCACTTTTGATGGGTCCAACCTCGAAACAGCTAATCATTCTTACATATTTAGCGCTGAGGACTCCAAATAGAAATTTTAGTTGAGGACTCGAAACCTTCAAATTTGCCAATTAAGGACTTTTTTGTCACACTATAAATACCCCCTTTTCATAAACCTCTCTTCAAACCATCCATAAAGCCCGTTTCCATTCATATCACTAAATTACTTTCAATTTTCTTTCTTTTTTTCGTTCCTATCTTCGATAATTTCGAGAAGATGACTATTCTCATCGAGCAGCCTGATCTCGGTAATTTCTCATTTTCCAATTATTTTTGCTTATTTCAATTATATATATATATATATATATATATATATATATATATATATATATATATATATATATATATATAATAATAATGCAATGCGCATGAATCAGTATGTTCGGAAGGATTATTTATATGCTAAAGATCTATCCAATGTATTTTACCAGGTGTAGCGTAGTATAAAAAACGTTGTGAAGATTGAATTGATGGATGATTATCCGAATAATGTATAAATATAAAATAATTGGGTTAATTTGTTGTTAATTAAATAATGAATTAAATAATAGCAGGGGTAGAAGTGGAAGGGAAGAAAATGGAAACAAATGAACTAGTACTAGATGGAGGTTTTCCGATGCCCAAATTGGACGCACATGGTGGAGGATTTGATGCCCCTGAGATCAACGCATTCGGTCAATCTTTCAGGTAATTAATTGATTAATATCTTTTTTAATATGCGACACGTGTTAATTACAAACAACCTTAATAAAACAATAAAAAAATATATTCTTGTTGGGAACTAACTATTATGACGTCAATAATAACAGGGACTACAATGCTGAAAGCGAGCGACAGAAAACCGTAGAGGAGTTCTACCGACTCAACCACATTAATCAGTCATTCGATTTTGTAAGCCACCCACCCGCTCTCTATATTAATTAAATATTTATTTTTTTATTATTAAAAATATATAAATAAAATGTTTTATATTTTTTAATAAATTAAAAATGTATTAGGTGAAGAAGATGAGAGAGAAATACGGGAAACTAGACAAGACAGAGATGAGTATATGGGAGTGCTGTGAGCTTCTGAATGAAGTGGTTGATGAAAGTGATCCAGATTTAGATGAACCACAAATTGAGCATTTGCTCCAAACTGCTGAGGCTATTAGAAAAGATTACCCTCATCAAGATTGGCTCCATTTGACTGCTCTCATTCATGGTAATTCTTTTATTCTATTTTATATATGTATGGGAAAAATACAGTTTTCAACCCTCAAATTCGGTCCCTCATGTTTCAATAATTTTACACTTTTGGTCATTTCCATCAATTTACAGCTACTACATCAGTTAAGACGGTCGCTTGGTTCCGTTAGTACTAAAAGAAAACTGACCTTAATGACTAAAACTGTTGAATTTTTGAAACATGAGGGACCAAATGTGAAATCGGTGCGAATTTCAGGGATGTAAACTATATTTTCAATATTTATTTTTTAATATATATATATAATGGGGTGCAGATCTTGGAAAAGTGCTTCTTCTACCTAGCTTTGGAGAGCTGCCTCAATGGGCTGTTGTTGGTGACACTTTCCCTCTTGGATGTGCTTTTGATCAATCCATTGTTCACCATAAGGTAGTTATTCATTTACTTTTATACCCCTATAATTAATTTGTGCAGTTTGAACCAGTTATATTCTATTAACTTAGTGAAATATTAATTTATTGAGTCTAGGTAATTTTCCAGTTTACGATTAAACCTCAGTAATTCATTCATACGGTTTTGACCAGTCAGATTCTATTAGTTTTTCGAAATATTAATTTATTGAGTTGAGGTAATTAATATACAATTAAACCTATGTAATTAATTCATACAGTTTGGACCAGTCAAATTCTATTAATTTAGTGAAATATTAATTTATTGAGTTGGGACCGAGGAAAAATATTATTTAAATGAGGTTATTAATTTATCGAGTGTTAATTTATCAAGGTTTTGCTGTATACAACACTATTTCGGTTAATGTGCTTTGATTTTCCATTGCCTATGCATTATTATTAATTAATTTCTTGAATTGAACAAACAATTTCTTGCAGTATTTCAAGGACAATTCTGATACTTACAACTCATCATACAACACTAAGAACGGTGTTTACGAACAAGGATGCGGCCTAGAGAACGTTGTCATGTCGTGGGGGCACGACGACTACATGTACTTGGTATAAATAACAAAACCACAAAAAATATTCAAATTACATATATATATTTTTTTAAATTTTTCTATAGTGGCTCTATTGAAAATTACTAATTGATTTTGAATGAATATTTAATTTCTACTTAGGTGGCCAAGGAAAACGGGACGACTCTTCCTTCCGCTGCATTGTTCATCGTCCGCTACCACTCGTTTTATCGTAAGAATTAATCTTATACTTTTTCCCTTTAAATATGATTTAATTAGATAATCAAGAATTATACTTTTTACATAGTTGTTTAATTAGTACACTAACTTGATAATGTGTTAAATCTATTGCAGCTCTGCACAAAGCTGGAGCTTACACACACTTGATGAATGAGGAAGACAAAGAGAACTTGAAATGGCTGCAGATATTCAAGTAATTTTTTTTTAAATATTTCATTAAATATAAATATAAAATTTTTTTCTTCATCGAAATTATCGAAATGAAACGAATATTAACATTTTTTTTCCCGCATATGCAGCAAATATGACCTGTACAGCAAGAGCAAAGTTAGAGTTGACGTTGAGAAAGTCAAACCATACTACCTCTCCCTCATCGACAAGGTAAAATAATTTTCAGTAATTCTTATTTAAATTATTAGTTATTTTTTCTTTATTTTTCAATTTTTGCTAATATGATTTTTTTAATTTTTTTTCGCAGTATTTCCCAGCAAAATTGAAATGGTAAGAAATGTAATGGCAAGTGAGCACAAGGAAGAAAATTAGAGCATTTAATTACAAAAGGACCACCGGAGAAGATGAGCGATTTCGTAGCATGGTTTGCTGTTGCAAAAATCAAGGATTAGATGTACATACATACATCCAACGACAAGAAATGTGGCTCTTTCTTCTTATTTTTCTCATTTTTTTTTCAGTTTAATTTTGTAATATCCATTTGAAATAAATTTGTAATTTTTCATTTTGTAATGGAAAAGGTTCTTTTTTTATTTCTTTGTTTTCATCTTGTTTGCAATCAAGAGTGGTGGTACAGTACAAACCGGGGGAATGGCATAAGAAAATGAAATACATTGAGTTAGTTGCACTGACCCCACCATGTGAACTTCCTAGTTTATTTTGCACGTGATGAACTTCGCGACGTGTATTTATCGGCCGAACCCTAATTAGTTTTTCGGAAACTTCTCAAACAAAGTTTTTAGAAGATGCGTTTCGTGATGGATAATATGGTGCAGTCTTTTTATCGGCCAATTGCCGAGAATCGGATACGGAACCCTGTATAATTGGGGGCAACTATACATCCTTGATGACTATTTTAATTTGCTTTCAAATCAGAACAAGATTAATTTGCCAATTAGCTAAAAGTCCTATAATAGAGTAAAACTTGCACCCTCAAGACCTCCTTCCAAATTCAACTCTTTCGTTCGTTGAAGAGTACGTCTGACACCAGTATTTAGCTAGCAAAGACGAATTAATCGACTGGAAATATATAAAACAAGAGAGAATGAGAGAACTCGAAAATTAGTGTTTTAGTTTCATGTCAAATCGTAACTCCAATAGGTTTGTTACATTCATTTATATAGAGAATTGTATGGAACTATTTCCTAATTTAGGAAATCTTTATTCGTCTGAGATTTGCATTTATAAGCTAATCATCCATTCTAATTGACACATTTTCCTTATTAGTTTATGGAAATTATCCTAACATCTTCTTCTTCAACGTCTATCTTCGAGCTTGCCGCCTACCGCCTATTACTCTTCCTTTCATGGGATCAGATACGTGTTAGTGGACTTATATTTGAGCTGTCTGTCGGCGACCTTTTTGCCGTTAGTCTTGGCGAACACTTTGGTCCACCTCAGTGCCCACCATTCATAGGGCATTGGCTTGATGGACTCAGTTCTTATCCTTCATTGGGCCTTGGCCCAATAAGTATAAGGGGTTCAACCAATATTACCGAACTAAACCCATCATCCTCTGATTTCTATAGGGATGGAAGTACCCATGTTCTCATATTTATTTGTTATCTCCTATCTATATTTGAACCATCTAACCATTGTTAGAAGCAAGGTTGTAAAAAGTGGTAATTGGGTCCGAATCGGTCAGGCACCGACTCACGATTAATCGGTGCGGCGGTGATAAATCGGTGATAAATCGGAAATAAATCGGCTTTTAAAATTTAATATAATATATTTCTAAATACTCCAAACATATATAAAAAGATATTTAAACATAGTTATATCTCCATCATGTATATATCCTAATAACATAATAAAAGTTTAATAATTATAAGACCATAATACATAAATATCCTTATAAAATATAAATAAAAAAATATTTTTTTTGAATTTACATTTATTCTTGAACATTCCTGGCATACATCATTAGTTCTTTGACAATAACAATTAACATAAATAAAATAAGGCAAAAACTCATATTTTCTTTTATTAAAATCCAACTTTTATTTTAAATTACAAAAAAAAAAAAAAATGACTTTTGCCACCGAGTTTGACCCGCCTTAAAGGTTTGACCGCCTCAGACCGCCTCGAACCGCCTCAGACCGCCTAAAACTGCCTCACAGGCGAAAAACCGATTTTTCAAACCTGTACACTGCGTAGAAACAAAAAATTAGTACACAAAAATTATCCACCCAAATTTAGATAACAAGAACAAACAATCAAACCTTTCAAAGTAAAACAAGGATCAACAAAGACGGAAACATGTCACCACAACATATGTGTGGCAACTCAGTATGTCATATCAAACTTTCAAGTGTAATCCTGACATAACAAGAAGATGGTTATCCTTTCATTGTTCATAGATGAATACAACAAGTTCCAAGCAATTTACGCAAGGAATCAAATCGAGAGAAATCTAAAGATTTTGTAAAAGAATCAACAAACTGATTATTTGTTGTCACACAGTCTATACACACAACATTTCGCACAACAAGTTCCCTATTGAAGTGATGACAAAAATTACGGAGCTCCAACACTAAGTATGTTTTTCTCAAAAAGTATGCACTCACATTATCATATAAAACATGCAGAGCATTAACAAAATACTACAAGTCAGTAGCGCACACATTAAGGGAAATTATTATAGAAAAGTTGTTACTGACATATTTATTCACCCATATTTGTTTTGTATCAGAGTGTCCCATCACGGGGCATGTTACAATGCAACAGAATTGGGTAAAAGTCGTAACACACTCTTCTCAACTTTAATCTCAACCTTTCTTGAGAACATGCATCCTACAATAAACAAAGAAAATAAATTAATTCCCAAAATCAGGCACTGAGTATATCTAGTAACCGACTCTGATGTCAATTGTTGATTTATATACCTACGAAAATCCACTCGTTCTGTTGAGACAGATTAATTGTTAAGATATTAGGTGTCGCAACATAATTTTTATATATATGCAGAATTAACTAATTACTATAATGGTAATGAATGTAATGGTAAGTGAGGAGAAGGAAGAAAATTAAAGCATTTAATTGGAAAAGAACCACCGGAGAAGATGAGCGATTTCGTACAGCATCAGCATGGTTGTTGTTGATTAGACATACATACATCCAACCACCAGAGATGTGGCTCTTTCTTTTTCTTATTTTTTTCATTTAATTTTTTATTTTTTTTAATATCCATTTGAATTAAGTTTGTAATTTTTCATTTTGTAATGCAAAAGGTACCATTTTGTTTCTTTGTTTTCATCAGTTTGCAATCAAGAGTTGTGGTACAAACCAGGGAATGGCATAAAATAAATAAATACATTGAGTTAATTGTAGTGATCCCACCATGTGAACTTCCTAGTTTATTTTTGCATGTGATGAACTTCACGATGTGTATTTATCGGCCGAACCCCAACTAATTTTCGGAAACTTCTCCATCAAAGTTTATAGAGGATGCGTTTCGTGATGGATAACATGGTGCAGTCTTTTCATCGATCGACCGAACTTAGTGGCCATGTTATATTGTTTGTAACTTCGACTTTTGTAGGGCCAGTTTGCTATGCATCCTTGATGACTAATTTCTTTTCAAATAAGGACAGAATAATTTGCTAATTAGCTGAACATTCTCTCAAAGCTGGTCCTGACAATCTTGGGGTCCTAAGCGGACTTTAAAATTACGGCTTCGGTTTTTTTTAATAGTATTTAAATTCTATTGTTATCGGTACACATTATTAACAAATATCTTATTTAATAAACAAAATATTTGCTATTTTATTGAAAATAAAAATATGAATTTGAAATATATCAAGTACGAACCTTAATGTTGATGGCAGTGTAAAAACATTTGATGACATAATGATATGCATCTATTTTATGCATAAATGGCACATTCTGGGGAAAAAAAAATTGGTGATCAAAATTAATAAATTTACATATATTGATCATTATATTGTTCATCTCAACCGACATCAGTTTGTCTCAATCTTTTTATAGTATGGATGTTTGGTTTAAGATTTAACTATAATCTTAAAAAAAAATTGGCATATACATTTGGATATTAATAACACAGTATAAGAAATTATATAATTAATTTATACACAATATTTAAAATGGTCTTTCTTTATATGTTTTGAATATATTTTTTGAATAGTTGAGATTATAAAATATTCCATTAACATATAGTTTAAAACAACGTCTAATAAAATATTTAAGTATATAACTAATATTGGGGTCATATAGTGGTTTATGAAAAAAATTGTGGGGCCCCCTTGTGGGGTGGGGCCCTAAGCCAAGACTTTCTTTGGCTTTGCGTTTTCTAAGAGAGTAAAATTTAAACCTAATGATGCTAGAAATAGATCACCTTAAATAGTTGATGTAGAAGAAGTTGGGAGAGCAAAGTGGATCACTGCTCACGTGCTAGATGGTCCTGAGATACCTGCGAATAGAGAACACGTAAACTAGGTCGGGGGTTAGATCTGACGGAAACCCCTCCGACGCTCAAATCAGACGTGAGGATAGTAGAAGTAATTGAGAGAATATGAATTGTAGAATTGGCTAGCTAATTGGGCGTACCTTTAATAAATGAATTATATCGTTATTTATACCTTGTCGATTGGGCTGCGGTTAATTTGTTGGGCCCAAACCTTATTTGAAGGTGATTGGAGTTTCGTAATGTTCTTCTAAATCGGATTCGTGGCCCAGTAGATAGAGAGATTGTAAGCTTGTTGGGTTGGCCAATTAGGCATATCAGAACCCTAGAGACCTTTTTCAAAATCCCACTCTTTCATTTGTCGAAGAGTATGCCCGACACCAACATGTGGCTGGCTTAAACAGAGTAATCAACCAGAAAAAAAAAAGATAAAAACAAAATAGAAAAGAGAACTCGAATTAGGAGTGTTTTATTTCATGTTAAACCCTAACCCTTGTAGGGTTTTTTACATTAATTTATATAGATAATTATATGTAACAATTTCTTAATATAGGACATCTTTATTCACCTGAGATTTGCATTGATTAACTAATCATCTATCCTAATTTACACATTTTTTCTTATTTGTTTATGGAAACTATCTAATGATCTTCTTCAACGGTTATCTTCAAGCTCGCCACCAATCGCCTATTACTCTTCTTTTTATGCGATATGATGTGTGGTAGTGGACTTTATGAGGGAGTTGTCTGTCAGCAATCTTTTTGCCGTTAAGTTTTCCCTTAGCGAACACTTTGGTCCACCCAAGGTTGTATTAGGCGGAAATTAGACCCAAGTCGGTTAGACACCGCTTCATAATTAATCGGCGCGGCGGTGATTAATCGGTGATAAATTAGTTTTTTAAATTTAATGTAATATAAATTTAGATATTATTTGTAAATACTTAAAATATATATAAAAATATATTAAACATGATTTTATCCCCACAATTTTATATATCATAATCACATAATAAAATTTTAATAATAATAACATCATACTATAATAAAACTCCTTACAAAATAAAAATAAAACGGAAATCTTGTGCATCCAAAATTATATATCATTAGGTCCTTAAAAAAAATTAATATTAACAAAATAATATAAAACATAAACTCATTTCTAATGAAAATCCCCACTTTTTTTAAAAAATAAATAAAATAAAAACTGATTTTTACCGATCTTTTGCACCAAAGTTTGACCCGCCTGCA